CAATCTGTTTGTGGGGAGCAGCATGTGCTCGGACAGGGCCCAGCGTCCCATTTGGAAATATACAGAGCAATTTGAGATACGGGGGTCATTACCTGTCTCTTATACACATCTAGATGTGTATAAGAGACAGCTGTTACCCTGCAGCCACTTGGGAGTGCTGCTAGTCAATTGGCCATCACCTGAAGCCCTCCAGTGTTCCGTGTCGAGCCCTCCATTATGAAAGCCCTCCATATCGGAAGCCAGGTTGGTTTCTCCACCTGCCGCTGACTCCCTCCCACCCTACCTCCCAAGTCACCGCCTCCTTTTCCTCCTCCTCTTCTTCCCTTCCTCCTCATCTTCTTGTCCTCCCCTCCTTCTACTCTTCTTTTCTCTTTTCTCTTCTTTTTTCTCAGGTGCAGGTGTCACCCCCTCCTCTCCTTGTCTGTCCTCCACCTCTCGCTGCCTACTCCTCCTCTCCTCCTCTCCTCCCCGTCACCTCCTTGTCCTCTGCCTCTCTTCTACTCCTCCGTCGTCTAGTCCTGTCTGTGCCCTTCCTCGTCATATCCTTTCCTCCTTGTCACATCCTTTCCTCCTCGTCACCTCCTTTCCTCGTCGTCTTCTTGTCCTTCTCTTGTCCTCTTCGTCACATTATTTCTTATCTCCTCCTCATCCTCCTCCTCCTCCCACTTTTTTTTTGACCTTGGGCAAAGATGGCGAATCTCTCTTTTCTTTCACTTTAATTTAAGGCAGCAGTCTCCTCCTTCCCCTCCTCTTGGTGTCCCCTTCTCCCCTCTCCCTTTTGCAGTATCGTCCTACTCTTGTCGTTTCCTCTTTTCTCCTCATCCCCTCCTCCTCGCCTCCTTGTTTCTAGAGCTTGCCTGCACGTCCTTCTTGTCTCCTAAGCTCTCCTCCTCCTCCTCCTCCTCTTGCCATTCTCTCCTCCTCTCCTCCTCCTCCTCCTCTTGCCATTCTCTCCTCCTCTCCTCCTCTCCTCCTCTCCTCCTCCCCCCCTCCCCTCCTCTCCTCCTTTCCTCCTCCTCCTCCTCCTCCTCCTCCTCCTTCCACCTTTGGGAAAAATTGCATCTGTACCCCTGTCTCTTATACACATCTAGATGTGTATAAGAGACAGGTCCTTCACTAAAACTGCAAGACAGTGAAAGAAGAATGCAGTAAAAGAAAGAAGAAGTTTGTGTCATTTTACTTTGTTTGTACCCTGCACCCTAACA